GTCTCTGTCTCTGTGAGTCTGACTGTAGACGTCTCACATAAGTGGCATCATACAGCATTTGTCCTTTTGAGACTGGCTTATTGCACTTAGCATAACGTCTTCAATGTTTATTCATATCACAGACTACGTATATCAGGGTTCCCTTTTTTTTAAAAAAATATATTTTATTGATTTTTTACAGAGAGGAAGGGAGAGGGACAGAGTTAGAAACATCAATGAGAGAGAAACATCGATCAGCTGCCTCCTGCACACCTCCCACTGGAGATGTGCCCGCAACCAAGGTACACGCCCTTGACTGGAATCGAACCTGGGACCCTTCAGTCCGCAGGACAATGCTCTATCCACTGAGCCAAACCGGTTAGGGCAGGGTTCCCTTTTGTAGACTGAATAATACTCCGTTGTATGCGTATGCCACATTTGGCTATTCATTCATCCATCGATGGACGAGGGTTGCTTCCTTTTTTTGACTGTTATGAATAATGCTGCCGTGACCTTGACCTGCAGCTCTCGCAGTCCTGCTTTGACTTCTTTGGGGAAGATACCCAGAAGTGGAATGGCTGGCTCACCTGTCATCTGTGTCTGATTTTGTAGGAACCACCGATCTGTTTTCCACAGCGGCTCCGCCATGTTGCACTGACGTGGTTATCACTCTCATCGCTGTCACTGTGGCTGTTTCACCTCCTTGGATGTTCTTTCTTTGCCTTTTTAGGGGCTTCCTTTGATTTATTCAAACACACCTTGTTGATGTGTTTTCTCTGCTCTGATAACTTGTTCCTGATACATTCTTTTCTACTGTGGTACGTTAGTACTATACTTCATATGTGTTTGTTAGCACTAAATATACTGTATGTTTATACTATACTTTGCCTACTATTCTTCTTTCTTACGAGGGGCTTTTTCCCAGAGGTCGCAACGTGCGCTCATTTACCCGCCCCAGCGCGTGCATTATCGCTCCATGCACTTGAATTCTGGGTGCTTTAAGCACTATGGTGTTTTATTATTTTATGGGACCCACATTGATTTATCGTGACCTTTTTAAAAATACCTGTCCAGTGGCTCTTTCGTTCCTCCTGCACTTACATTGCTCCGAACAGTCCCTGTGGCATGTCTTTTCTCGCCGGGTTACTGAGATGTGGCTGACCCGTGCCCCTGTGTGAGTTTCAGTGGTTACACCTTAGCGAGCGAACATTGCTGTGCACATCATCATGGATGTCCGGGTACTTTCTCCCACTTTAAGATTTCACTCTGTTTTCATTTTTCCTTGTTTTTGTTGACGTCAGCTCCAGCTCTAACTCTGTTGCTCCTTGGAGGGCAGTGTCTGTCCTCCCTGCGCCTGCCCCTGCTGCTGGGAAATTGTGTCTTTTCTTTGGTTTTGATCAGGTGACGGTGCTGAGCCTTGGTGCGTCCTCCTGCTTGTGTTTCGTCTGCAGTGAGCTGTTTCTTCTTTAGGGAGTGGCAGGCATGTCAGACACAGTCCGGCCTTGCTAAAGGGACCGGCGTGAATACCGGACCGTGCGGGCAGCCTGCGTAGGAAACCGGCTAAATGTCCAGGGGCGGTGAGGAGGGTCGTGTTGATTCCATCCTGGCTATGTTTGTTGCATAAGAACCTCCAAGTGTTTTGGCGAGTGGCTCTATATAATTGGAGTTAACTTTTGGTAGCAGCTTTGGTATTTTTGCCTTTTAGGATATTTAGAAAGTGAAGTTGTTTACAAGCGTTAACAGAACCCCAGTGCATTGCAGTTGAGTGCTCGTGTTGAGTTTTTTTTCTGGTAGGAACCTGTAGCCAGTTCCTCCTTCTTTACAGAGAAGGCTGGCTCCCTAAGAGACCTGCAGTGTTTACTGATTTGTTGGCGCGCACGTCTTAGGTGCTGTGTGACGACATGTGTGCACCTACTTACTTAATCAATCGACAGAACGTCCTTTACTAGCGCTCAGTTCAGCCGTTAAGGAGCTGTCAGCTCGGTCAGCGTAGCCTCCAGGTCCTTTTCGTTTCTGACTCGGGGCATTGAAACCCAGCATGTGGACGTGGCCTATGGCAGCCAGCAGGAGAGGCACGGCCCTCGGAGCTGTGCCTGGGCAGTCCTCGGGCTCTCACCGCGGCCCTTGCAGGAGGGATCCGGAGTGCAGTGTAGGGAGACAGTGAGGAGTGAAGGGCGCGGTTCCGAGCCACTGAGGCACAGTGCCCCGTCCTCCGGCTTCTATTCCAGGCCACTTGGAATGTGGCTCGGATTTCCCAAGGGGACGCACGGCTGATGCCCCTGGCGGACTGTCACCAACGTCAGGAGCGCGAGGGGAATGAGTGGAGACTTACACACGGGAGGCCAGGCCTGCCTGCCTTCCTAAGGCGGGAGCAAAGGCGTTCTTACTCCTGTGTCCTATAGGCTTTGTTGACTTTAAACCGATCACATATCACTTAGCCCTTCGTAGCAGAATGTGCCTCTATGTCAGCCGGACCCCGACGTAAAGGAAAACCAGTTTGTTGGCTGGGCCGTGTGTCATTGTCATCCTGGACATGTAACTCGGTTAGTGCCTCAAACATACGATGCGATGTGATAGTGACTACAGGCCGGCCCTCTTCCTCTAGCACGCACGCACGCACGCACACACACACGCACGCACTCACACACGCACGCACTCACTGCGCCTGGGACATGTGCTGTTCATACTTAGAGCTGTGATGTGATAGTGACTACAGGCCAGCCCACTGCCCTCTTCCTCTAGCACGCATGCACGCACACACACGCACGTGTATGCACACACTCACTGCGCCTGGGACATGTGCTGTTCATACTTAGTTGCTTGACCTGAGGGCCATGAGCTGAATGAAGCATTGGAAGAAGGAAGGACTGTTATTGGTGGATTTAAGCTTTCTTGCTTTTACTGCATTACTGTGACTGTGGGCTTACGGAGGGAGGGCAGGAGCAGCAGTGGAGTCTGAGAGAGAGAGAGAGAGAGAGAGGGAGGATGCACACAGCTGCTTTCCTGTGGAAGCCGTCCCACGCAGTGAGCGTGGGCTTTGGGACTTGGGAGACCCGGTTTAAAACCGTTTCCCTCTTAGCGGTTCTTGGCAGCTGTAACTGGCGCGTGACTTCACTGCTGAACACAGGTGCCCGCTCGTCAGGAGAGGACGAGGCCTCCTGACAACTGCTCGCAGCTGGTTTACGAGGGGCCGTCTTGGCGAAACTCTGTTAGTCTTACTCTTGGGGTAGGTGGGGCAGGTGCCATGTGACCGACGACTGGGGTGTCGGCAAAGACTCTTAGAGAGAGAGAGAGAGCGTTGTAAAAGGCGGTAGGCCGGCTCCTAGCTGACCCCTGTACTGGACTTAGTGCTCTACTTCCACTACGGACGTATTTTATTTACAATTCCTGGCTATAAGTGCCATTATATTACAGAATTGACTGAGTCAGTTATTTTAATTATTGAAGCCTGCTGACCAATTCTTTTTCTAAAAATGTGCCCCGTTCAATAAGATTTTCTTTCTTCAGGAGCAACAGTTTCATGTTTTGGCAGGTTTAACTTAGAAAGCTGGAATTGGCTCAGTTCCTGTTCTTCGATAGCCATCTTACTTTTTAAAAAAAGCTTGTGTGAAGGACCACAAAGTGAAATGTTTCTTGTTGTTTTTCCCCAAGGGTTGTTTATAGAACCAGGCTCACTATCTTCTGGTCACTTTATTAATAGTTAAAGGAATTAATCAGTTCATTTTCAGAGGGAATAAGATTATTTGGAATTATTTAACTTCACAGAAAAATGAGACAGGTTTGTTTTTTAACCCAGGTAGACTCAAGTTTGAATCATAAGATTTTCTTCCTTCTAAAATTTTCCTTCACATTTACATTATAGAAATTTACTAAATTAAAAAAACAGCAACTTGCTGTGACCAGGAAAACTACAGATACCTCACAATGTAAACACAACTGCCTGGGTTCAGGTGTCTGTCGGAAGTCGTGGACTGAGTCCTGTAGCAGAGAGAACCGTGGACGTGCCATGGGAGCTGTGTCCGTGCGGGCCTCCTTCACCTTTTCCTTTATTTCTTTGGTTCTCAAAATATCTGGCCTGTATTTGGATGGCGCCCAGCTGCAGCCTCTGTTCTGAACCCTACCCGTAGCCAGTAGACACTTCAGTGTAAGACAGTCTTTTTGGCAGTGAAAGTTTCCCTTGTAAATGATGAAATAGATTTTTTGTTGTATCCTTGAAATCTGTTCCTGGGAAACTATTTTTAGGAAAGAGAAGGGACCAGGGGAGGGGTGGGCTGGGGCAGGGTAGCTGGGACCTGGTGGGGAGCAGGAGGGGGACGGCAGGAAGACGGGCCATCTTACCGAGGACTTGTTTTTTAAGCATAAAAAGCGGATGTGCCAAATTTACATATTTACTAATTAAAAAGCCTTCCTGGAAGCCTTCCGTAAACTATCTTCTGTGACCTTTCACACCGTCACTAATGGATATTGCAGAGAACATTTCATCGAAGGCCCTTTAAATAATGTAGGTGATTATGAATATGTAACTAGTTAATATGCAGCCGCGGCAGGTTCCGCGTGGAGGTTAATGAAGCCCTGCTCGGGTGCTGCCGGCTCACCTCATGCGTGGAGACCGGCGTCGGCTGCAGCGGGGTCTCATCTTTTCACGGGGCTGTTCCGTAGGAGCTTCATCAGAAGGGTTCCATGCAGAGGTGTTCTTTTCAATTGACACGGAGTTCTGTTTGTGTCTTTCACAGCGACGGCCAGATCAGAGACAGAAGGGTGGACTGGTGTCGCTGCGGCCGGCCCTTCTAGGTGCCCGGTCGGCGACATCAGCGCCGCTGTTCCAGTGCGGCTGGGGAGTGATCCTCCGAGGTCCTCCTCCCACAGCGGACCCCCTGTGCTGAGTGAATGTGGGGTGTGGTTGGGGGTCTGATCACAGCATGCATTCTGTGCAGGATTCCTGCCCTCGTATTTAACATGTCCCAAAGGAGGACAGTTATTTCAGGAATTACTAGTAAATGTTAGAGAGATTCAGTGACAGCCCCACCCCCTGTGATTTCTGGGTAAAACATTAAGCAGACAGACAGTTATCGGTGTTCAGAACAGTGAGCCTGGGTGTCAACCCAGATACAGCGCCCTGGCCGGTGCTCGGTTGGTTGGAGCATCGTCCCATACACCACGGTTGTGGCTTCGTACCAGTCGGGGCACATACTTAGCTTGCGGGTGCTATCCTGGTTGGGGTGCATGTAGGAGGCAACTGATGGATGTTTCTCTCCCTCCCTCCCACCCCCTACCCCTTCCTTCCTTTCACTAAAAAATAAAAAATAAAAAAAATCAATAATTAAAAAAAACTAAACCTATCCTTAGGTGAGGATTCAAAAAAAACAAAACAAAACCCCAGATAATTCTGCTATTTTTTTTTCATGTGGCTTTGTATTGAGCCTTTTGGCTTTTATTCCTTAGTTTCTTTGTCTCTAAAATGGTGCTACAGCATTTGAAATTATTATTTAAGATGTTTATTAATGGGCCATGTAAAAGCAAGTGATTAATAATCTTTGGAAACAGTGTTGCTTTTCAATTGCCATGTAAGTGTCTTCCCCTTTATTGGCTAGTGTTCTTACTGGTGTTCTGAGCATTGTGGGAATCTACTGAAATACCGCGGAGGGAAACAAACAACTTTTGTCATTAATTTTACTGTTTTCGTATTATAGGCTCAACTGGCTATGAGGTGCTTACACTTTTATCATAATTCACAGAGGGAACAAATGGGCTGTTCAGAGCATCTCTTTATCCCAAGTATTTCCCTTTGAAAATGTAGTAGAAAGATATCACTGAACTCATTTTTAATGCGTCAGAATAAAAATCACAGGTGAGAACATTCGGAGATATACTGACAAAATAAAATATTTTCACTACTGTCATTTTTTTTTAACTGATGAAACGTGGATGTTACATTAGCTTTTTTGTTATTTGTAACATTTGTGTATCCTACAAAATATGTAACATTGAAAGCAGGTCTGTAGATTGTACAAAATACTAGTTATCTTATATCGTGTGTCATCTCACTGCTGTGCAGCGGGCTTCGCACCGAGCCCGAGCCGGGAGCTGTAATTTGTTCTGCGGTTATCAGCCCGCATTAGAGGGTGTGATGGAGTGTGCTGCTTAGGAGCCAGCGCTCCCATCTCGGTGCGGGTGACACGTACAGATGGGGCCGGAGGCGCCGTGGAATCTGTAAGGCCCGCTCGCGGCGACGCGGGTTTGAGCTGTGCCATGCCCTGTTTCTCATGAGGAGTTATCTGTTTCCATGACAGGTGGTCAGCGGCTGCCGAGAGCGGATCCAGCACTGGTGAGTGAAGGACGCTTTTATCACTTTTCTGAGACCCTGTCGGCCGCCGTCTGCATTGAAGCAGCGTGTGCCTGTGTCTGGGGAGCCCATGACTGAATGCCGCTAGTGCTCTCCATGTTGAGTGCCTTGGCCGCTCATTTATATCGTCTGTCACTGTTTGCTGACTTACATGTTCCCTGATTTCCTGAAGTTGTGTCACCATTTGTGTTTATTCTAAGGGCCTTCTTTTTTCCTTTCTTTTCTTTAGTGTTAGAATAACATTAGTAGTATGAAGTGGAGACAGACATTTTTGAACTAGACTAATCATAGCTCTACTTGGGAATAGTTCTTATGTTTCTACTGGGATAATAATTGGATCAGCTGCTGGAAAATCAGGGCGAAAAGGTGCACGTTTGAGCCTCTGAGCAGCTGCAGTGGGAGCCGTCCTGTCTGCTCAGTGCTGACCCTGAGTTCATAGTGCGCTTGGTGCGCGGCCCTCCTCTGTCTCTGAGGACGCCCAGCTCGGAGCCCGTCAGGGCGGAAAGGTGCACGTGTCCTGAAGTTTGAGCCTCTGAGCAGCTGCAGTGCGAGTGTCTGCTCAGTGCTGACCCTGAGTTCATAGCGCGCTTGGTGCGCAGCCCTCCTCTGTCTCTGAGGACGCCCAGCTCGGAGCCCGCGGTCCAGCTGCTGACTGAGGTGTGAAGTCACAGTGCGGCGCTGGGCGCTGTGCCCTGTGCCCTGTGCGCTGTTCGGGGAGGTGACTGGGAGACCGCAGGCCGCCTGCTTCCTGCCTGCAGGGTGAGTGAGGAGCGCCGACTGTCCTCGGTGCTGGGACTGAATTCTTGCTCAGACACCATCAAGCACAGAATATTTTAAATTTATTTTAAGAGGCTTTTTCTTCATGCCTGAGAGACCTCCGATGAAATGGTTCCTGGTTAGTGTGTCAGATGCTGTTTGGCTCCAGCGCGCTAGGCTGCAGGCAGGGCTGGGGGCGGAGTCTGTGCTCTGCTCCTCCCCGCGCTGCACTCCGACTGCTGCTCGGAAATGGTTCCTGGTTAGTGTGTCAGGTGCTGTTTGGCTGCAGGCAGGGCTGGGGGCGGAGTCTGCGCTCTGCTCCTCCCCGCGCTGCACTCCGACTGCTGCTCCGGATCCCGGCTACGCCACGTGGATCCACCTGTGAATAACCCAGCGCCTCTTCATGTCCAGTAAACGCCTGTCGTGCAGCCCCGTGTGGGCCTGTCATCACACATCCCTCTAGGTTAAAGCTCGGAGTGCAGGTCCCCGGCCAGAGAACTCATCCCTGCCCGCCCTGCTAATTTGGTCAAAGTGAACCATTTGCCGTTTTATAAGTGATTCCTAGAGGAAGCCTTATTAGTGTTGGCTTCTCTCTCTGTTGGTTTTAATCAGGAAATCAGGAAATTAGCAAAGGGTTGGATTCAGTGCGAACAGACACTGATTTGCACCCTCCTGTCACTCACCACCTGCGCTGGTGCTTGTGGAGGTGGAGGCTTCTTCAGGGCGAGGGCACGCCCTCCTGTCCACGGCACCCCGTGCCGCACCCACAGGACGAGGTGCCTGAGTGGACGGCGGCCACGTGCTCGGCTAGTTGGATGCAGCACCGTAGTTGCCGGCACTACAGGCCTGGCGAGCAAGGACGGACGGACATGGCATTTAGTTCGGGGCAGGTCCATGGGACTCAGACTCAATCTCCAGCTTCACAGAGCCCCCACCCCGAGAGGCGTGGCTAGGGGACCTCCACGTCTGTCTCTGCCAGCGAGAGGGAACCTTGTCTGTGCATGAAAAGCCCCAGAACTGCTTTCCCGTTAAATGTGCCTCTTCCTCTGAATCAGTTCTGATACGGCTCAGGAAGCAGACTTCCTTCTGGTTTAAATGAGGACCTGCTATTGCTAGGATCTAAATGGCCGTGATCCAGGGGCCGGTCGGATGCTGCTGTCGTATGAGCGGCCGCCCTGGAGGCCTGCCCAGTTGGTCACTAAGCAGGAATCGCAGCGGATTTGCACTGTGTGTGGAGGCAGGAGGCCCCAGGGAGGCCGGGCTGCTCCTCACGCTGCTGAACCAGGCGTTAGTCTCATCTACAGCACAATCCGTGCAGCCGAGCCGTTCTCGGTGGTGACACCAACGCAGTGAAGGAGCAGAGAGGGTGACGTTTAAAATGCACGTGATGTCTACTGACCATGCTGGTCTGTGCACTTTCGAAGGATTCGTTCATGCAAAGGGCAGAGTGAATATTCTGGGCTTCAGGGTGTGAATGGTGTGTAGCTTCCCTCCTCTCCTTTACCCCCAATTCTTGTAAACAACTGTTTTTCACCAGCTTCTTGCAAAGCTGCCCAGGAATCGTTTGCATCTAAGCTAATGTTAGTGTGTGAGCATTTGCAAAATCACTCTTCTAAAACATAACTGCTAGCGTACAGTAGGTTTAACAAGCGCCTATGGCGCGCAGGCGTTGCACCAACTCGGCCTCATAGACACTCACTGTCCCATTTCCTGCCCACACAGCCCCGTCTCCGGAGCCCCGCACGGCACAGCTGGCTGTGCAGTCTGTCAGCAAGGCCTGTTCCAGAAGGACCTCTGACAGGAGAGACCTGGTTTCTCTCACGTGTGTGGTTCCTCATCTTCCTCCTTCCTCTTTCGCGAGAGGAGAATGTTGAAGAGTGACACTGACTGCAGGAATATTCTCAGGGCGAGTGGCAGACACGTGAAGTCCCTCGTGTCCTCTGGACTCGCTGCGGCAGTGGTATTGGTTGTGCCCCTGGTGACTCGGAGCCAAGGCGTAACATAAAGCAGGCCCGATGCTTGTAGAAGTCATTTTTATTATCTGGAGAGCGATGGTTCGTGGCAATTTATCCCAATTTCAGTTTGACAACATCTACATGTTCTTTTTAAATTGCTTGCTGAATTGGTGAGGTTTGTTACTTTAAAACGTTGACAGAACCTTCTGCTTTAAAACACGTCAGTGCCCTGGTTTTGCCTGCAGCCGGCACCCTAGGGGGGACCCTCAGGAAACCTCATCTCCAGGGAAGGGCTGTGCTTGCAGGGGGCGTAGGCCCCGAGGGGCTCCCAGGTGGAGGTGGCGGCCATCTCTGCTCCTGCAAAGTCCCATCTTTGTTGTCGACATGAACTGCCAGGCAGCTCTGTTTGGATGGAGTGTGAAGCAGATGCAGAGCCGGCGGGCTGCCTGTGCTGACCGCTGCCTGATTTCTTCCCGCCCCTGTGGGCTCTCCCCCCTCATCACAGGAGCGGCCTGGATGAGGGGCATGGCTCCCCACTTTCCAGCCCCCAGCTTTCTGAGGACGGGAGCCCCGATCAGATTTTATTGGTGGTTTCTACTCGGCAGCCAGTGTCCACTCACCCAGGAGCTTCCCCAGCCCCTTCCTTCCTCTCAGCTTCCGTTTCCCTCCAGCAGCACCGGCTGCCTTAGCTGCCAGGTTTCACTCAGCTCAGGCACCTTCCTCCAGAGGAGACACGAGTCTCCGGACGGGAGTGCTCCTCTTCTGAGGCCAGAGCCCCGGCGGCGCCCTCCCCGAGAAGTGTGTCGCGGCGTCATGCCATCGCGAAACTTGGTGAAAACTGGATTTGTAAATGAAAAAATCATTTCCGTCTTCAAATGGCTAAAACGAGGTTTCTGACTAGCCGCGCGCTGGCACAGAGCCTGCGGAGGAGCCGACTGGCGTGTTGATGGAGGGTTTGGTGTTTTTGTCAACAGGCAGCAGGTGGAGGACGACTACAGCGCCCTGCAGGAGCGGCTCGGCACCCTGCCCGACAAGCTGTCCTACAGCATCATGGTGGGTCGCGTGTCCCCTACGGGACCCTTGTTTCTTGTGGAGACACGACCCTGGGAAGGGATGGTGTTCCTGTGCCTCCGGCGTCAGGTCACAGATGACCTCGCCGAGGGCCTGCGTCAGAGGCCGCAGCCATAGGGCTCGTCTGTTTCACTTCACACTCACACACCAGTCGTAGTCATAGTGGGTCTTTTCTTCTTCCCCTTCCCCCCAGACTTACATGAAATGACCACATCATGGTGACATACATGGCAGAAACGCTAGCACAGAATTTGACATATTTGGTGTGCAGGTTTACTATGTCAGAAAACTGTAATTATGACAGAAATATCACACTTAGTCGCTTCCTGTTAGCCAGAGCAGGAATAGACCATACTGTTGCGTAATTCACAGAATTAAACCCTAGAACATTGATTTTATATAAAAAGGTCCTCCTAGTTTCTGTTTAAATGATCTTCATATTGACATAGTCATCTGTTCACGAGCCCTGGATTAGATTCCGTCATTGCATGAATGTTCTTCATGAACACTGTTCTTAATTACACCAGCCCAGGCACTGTGTGTGCTGTTGTCCGTTCTACTGGCCTCAACATTTTATACATTTTGTAGATTTGTTAAAGCTACTTATTTATTCATTCCTGCTTTGCAAAAATAAATGGCTATTTTATTGGAAATAATTTTGTTTTTTTAATCAAAGGTATTAATATTTCATTACAAGTTTGTTTCATTTAGATTTATGAATGAACAAAAAGTATAAATGAACAAAAAGCAGGTGGATAACGACTTCGAGACAATGCTGATTTCTCTGAGAGGTGTATGTAAATGTGCCGTCTTCCCCTGTTGATTTATTAACCTAAAACAAACTCCTATAGGTTTTCCTGGTGAAACTTTAATAGAGTGTTACATTTCTGTGACGTTGACATTTTGTTTTCCTTAGTGTACAGATAAAAAGACCTCAGCGCAGAGCTTTTAATGCTTAGTGTTTCATAAGATGTGTTTTCCAGTGTTCTTAATGCTGTTATTTTATTTTTTAAATAGGTACCATTTGGCCCTTTTGCCTTCATGCCAGGAAAACTCGTCCACACTAATGAAGTCACTGTCTTACTGGGGGACAATTGGTTTGCCAAGTGTTCCGCCAAGCAGGCCGTGGGCTTAGTCGAGCACCGGAGAGGACGTATGTACCGATTCTAAATGATGCTCCTTTGCTAGATGGGTCACTGGGTGCCAAGCGGACAGGCTGAGTGTTACTGAAAGGACCTTCCGTGACCTCCCCGCCCCAGCTCTGGGTGGGGCTGTCTGTCCATCAGAGGCAGTTGGAGAAGAACCAGCCTGTGGGAGTGAGCAGGACGATGGCCCTTCTGGGTGGATTAGCACCCACATCAGTGTGTCTTTGGAAACTGCATCATGTAAATGTCATTACATGTGGTTTTGTAGGTAGAAGTTGGGAAGACATAAGAGTCAGGGGCATTTTATAGTTTATTAGTGACCCGGTGCATGGATTCATGCACATTGAAAGGAAATTAATTAGAAGGTGGCTGGCAGGGCAGGATTGGGCAAGACGGGCCGGACATGCCCTGGAGCCAACCTCCTGCAGTCCCTCCCGCCGGCCGTACCTGGGATGGCACAGTGGCTCAAGGCTGTCTGCGGAGTGAGCGGGGTCCCTCTGACAGGTGGGGTCCCTTGGCCTGGCCTGCCGGGATTGGGCCGAAACCGTCTCTCCGACATCCTGAGGGGTCCTGGAGTGCAAGAGGGAACTCTGCAAAGTTGCTGTCCTACAGGGTGTGGAATGCAAACGCAAGTGTGCAGGAAACCAGATCCGGGGCCAACAGTGTCCCAGCAACAACACAACACATGGCTGAAGGTGGAATTGCGTGGCCCCACGAGGAATTGGGCTCCCTCCTCTCTGGTTTCGGGGTGCAGCACCTGAGAGCCGCTACTGCCGAGTCACTGCACCTCGGCAGCTCCTGCGTTGAGCGCCTGCCCCCTGGTGGTCAGTGCGTGTCATAGCGACTGGTCTGACAGACAGCATATTAGCCTTTTATATGTATAGATAATTGGTTTGTTGTAGGCTCTCTCATTGACTTATGTTTGCTTTTAATACTTTATTACACAGAAGGAGTTAACTTTCTACTTAATGAACTGAGAGAAATACCTGTTTTCAAAGTAGAAACAATTCTTAAACATGTGTTTTTGGGTTTGGAAGAGTGATATTTTTATTTTACAGAAGAGGCCAGGTGTGGAGAGTACCTAAAATGCACCCTTGTCTTCGTTAAGTGGTTTGAGGTCTCTGCCTCATTTTATTGAGCTAGTTCTCTAGTTTTGTTATCTGTGATACTATTTGTTGACACAAAATAGTAAGTGTGTTGTTGACAAACACACACACATAGACACACACACACACATTTTAGAGTTGGGTGGGTTGAATTAAGTCCTAGCTTAGTTGCATTTTAAATTTAGGTTTATTAATCTATGTTCTTATTTCTAAAATAGTATACTTAAATTGGTAGTATAATATCACCCCTACCTGCTTTAAAAAATATATATATATATTTTATTGTTTTTTTACAGAGAGGAAAGGAGAGGGATAGAGAGTTAGAAACATCGATGAAAGAGGAACATCGATCAGCTGCCTCCTGCACACCCCCTACTAGGGATGTGCCTGCAACCAAGGTACATGCCCTTGGCTGGAATCGAACCTGGGACCCTTCAGTCCGCAGACGACGCTCTATCCACTGAGCCACACCGGTTAGGGCACCCCTACATGCTTTTAACCTTCTAGGTAAATGTGCATTTGAGAATATGTTTTTGAAGGTCCTTCTACATAAATGAGGTCATATAGATAGGAAACAGCTGAGTTTTTCAACGATGAAATGACTTCACTTACACATGAGCGGGTACTAGTTAGAGAACTCATTTACTCATTGAGATTCTGGGGTTTATATTTGGAGACTCTAATTGCAGATCAACTTGTATAAGTTTATAATGGATACATATTTTGATCTTTTGTGACACTAATCAGAATCTTATTGTTAGGCCTGTGTACATTTCTGGCAGTGATACTTGTGTTGGCATTGCTGCATTAAAACAAGTCATGTGCATGCGTTAGAGGAGAGAGAATGGGCATGATTCCCTCCCAAAGGCCTTTCCTGATGGAGAAGTGTTCACTTACTGCGGTGGCTCTGCTTATAGGAAGTCAGTTCACAGTCTGCTCAAGTGTTTTCATTTTGATTTTAATATGGATATTTCAGCAAAGAAGTCTTTAGAATCAAGATGACTTAATATATTAATGGGAGAATACTTTTAATAGAATAGAGCTCTAGGATACAGAAATATTTTTTGGTAAATCACTTTCCAATTTAAATATGGTCTTGAAAATGACCAAACATGATGACCTTTGGGATCAATATTTATCTAAGATAATTTTAAAATATATTCATGTAAATTATGTCTGAGAACTTATTATGAGAAATTAATTATAAAAAAGTTGTTTTATTCACACAGTTTTATAATACTGAAGAAAATGTTTAGGCATATTGTTGTACTTGACATTTGCTAAGGAAAGATACTTTATGTTTCTTAAGGCAGAAAATATAACAAGTTAAACAGACTTCATGTTGACAGGCATTTGGGGAAGGTGGAGGTCATTGCATGTTAAAAAAAAATGGGCAAAATGAGCAAAATGGATTTCACACAAAAACAGCAAAAGGATTCAGAGGAGGGGCTCTGAGGAAGATGGTTTCTGAGAGTGTCCTACCCTCTGTGCTCACATCTTGCAGTTTTGCCATTTACATCAACATGACCAGCCTTTTCAAGTTCTTTTAATTTTTAAAATTATGAGCATGACATTGACTTTTCATTTGGTTACTGTTCGGTGAGTCAGAACACGTGTAAAGATCTGTTTAACCAGCACCACAGTCAGGACACAGAATAGGATACAGGATCCACCGCAGGACACAGGATCACGTAAAACCCCCTCGTCTTCCTCTCCGTGGCTGCAGCCACCTTCACCCCTCAGGCCTGAGAAACGGCTCACATCCTCACGCGATCCCTTCCAGGAGGGGGTCCTCCTGCTGCTTTCAGGAGTCCCCCTGGCTTTGCCTTTCAGAAGTTGGAGTGTGTGCGTTGGTGTGCGTCTCTTCGGGTTTATTCTACATGGAGTTAATTGAGCCTTTTGGATTTGTAGATTCAAGTCTTTAGTCCAATTTGGGTATTTGTTTGCTCCAACCAACTGAGCCACCCAGCCAGGGCTGTTTGCTGTTGTTTGAGTGGGGGATGGGGCAAAGTCAGTGTGAAGTGCATGGTTTCAGTGTCTGCTAAGTGGCAGCACAGCCCTTTGAACTGGTCCTGTGCAGGGGGTGGGCCTCTCCACCAGGGGGCAGCGCCCGTGGCACTGCTGGGAGAATCCGAGACATGCCAGCACCCAGCACCCAGCAGGCAGGAGGCGGAGAGGGGAGGCACACCGGAGCCAGAGGCCTTGTCTTGATCGGCCAGTCCTGTTCAGCACTCACGGTGCACAGCTGGGGGGAAGGGTGCGTTCATGGAGGGAGTTTGTAGCTCTTATGAAGGCTTTGTAATAATTATGACGTCCCTAACTTTATTCCTTTACATGCATGTAACTCCAGAAGCTGCTCGCTACATGTTTCTAAGTGTTTGGTCCTGCCATTGATCTCCAGGTGGAGATGACGACTCTGCCGAAGTCCTTAGGGCTTCTAGGTTTCCCGTGTACACGTGGTCCTTAGAGTTTGCATCTTTCATTTGCTTTCCGTTTCCCTTCTTCCACCTGGTGCAGTGTGTTAGCAAGTGCTAGGCAAATTGTACTAGAGTCTGAACTAGCGAAGAGTTTACAATACTGGCCTATGCTGGCTGCAGAAATCACATGCAAAACAAGCAGCAATTATACCAGATTCTATACTTCTG